AGTTTGTGAAAATCCAGACTCCCAGTCTCAACCCCACCACAGATTTTGAAACAGAAGGTGGGCCAAGAAATATGTATTTTTAACAAGCTCCAGTTTATTAAAGGCCCAGAAGCTGCACTGGCCACACACTGGGAAGCGTGGGGCTAGAATAATACATCTCTTCCAACCTTCATCTCCCCAAGGACTGAGAGAGCACCACTGATAGGAAAGCAAAGTACTGCTTCTGGTAAATAGGGGTGGTAAACTCTCAGCAACTCCCACCCATTCACCATGGCTGGGATATAAAAATTCCCCTGAGCACCCAAATATACTTTTTATGTATGGTAGCTATATCCAAATATGGTCCCAATGAGTCATGCCTCCAGGAATTCATAAGCTTGTGTAGTCCCCTCCTGCAATGAATCTGGGCTAATCCTGTGGCTCACCGTAACCAACAGAATGCAGAGGGAAGTGCCACTGCACCAGCCTCAGGCTCAAGACAAGAAGGCCTGGCAACTTCCACTTTTATAGTCTGGGGAGCTCTGAGCCATGTGTAAAGTCCTGCTGTCTTGATGGAAACACATGAACAGGCCACATGGTGAGGCCCTGCAACTACAAGGAGACAGAGAGAGGCCTAGCCATCCCGGTGTACCAGCTGCCCCTGCCAAGGTGCCAGACATGTGAATGTACCATCTTGGAAGTTCCAGTGTAGTCAAGTGCCCAGCGACCACAGCCCCAGCTATTACGTGGAGCAGAACTTCCCAGTTAAGCCCAGTCAACTCCAGTCAACCGAAAGAACTAATTTACATTAAACTAGTTTTTATTACGCACCATCATTTAATTTCTTATTGCTGCATTAAAAAAAAAAAAAAAAAAGCCAAAACTTAGAACAACCTCCAGTATATTATTTCTCACGATTCTGAGAACATGGTACATAATAATAATGTTTAATTTCATCTAAACACATTATGGAGTACTTTTACATTCATTAGCTCATTTTATCCTGACAACAATGCTGTGAGTTAAGAAGTGCAAAGATTCATGTTATTCCCCCATTCTGCATATTTTTAAGTGAGATGGCTAAATTAGTAAGTGGCAGAGCTGATCTACTAATGTTGAATACAGGGCTATTTCTTCACAGGCTTAGCCAGTGCCCCTGAGGGGCTCACTGGGGAATGGAGTCAACAGGGGCCAGTCAAGAGCTATTCAAAGAGAAGGAGACGACAGAGATGACCAGATGTGAAGAAAGAGGATTTGAAAGACTCTCTTTCAGAGAGGCTGAGGAGGTAGGAGTCAGGGAGACAGATGAGGAAACGACATTGAGGTGACTTGGCACAAGAGGATTTGAGAGCACAACGGCTAGATATGAAGGTGCAGAAGCTGCCTGGAGGGTCAGCCTTGTCTGCCCTTAGGAGCTGGGCCAGCCACAGACCACAAGGCCAAGGCCACCCAGCCCTACTTCATACCAGTCACCCCATACAGCCACAACTCCCGCCCTCGTCTTGCAGGGCCTGTTGCAAGGAGGACCATGCTCCCCTCTCTGTTTGCGTTGCAGGAAGCGTCTTCAGGGAAGACCATAACTTTTCTAATAACTCAACCACAGTGTGCCCCCCGAGGGGTGTAGATTTGGACTGGAGAGAACCAGGAATCCTGCCACTGTGGATATGACAGGATTAGGCGGTGGGTAAGCAGTTATCCTGCCCATCGCACGCCCTCCTCCTGCCCTCTGTTCCACTGAGTAGTCCTCCAGGCCCTCCAAGGGGCTTCCAGGGGCTGAAATGGAATTGTCATCCTCAGTCCCACCTACCATCAGCCTCCTCAGCCCTAGACTTCCTTCCTGCAGCTGCACATGCCCTGAGGGATGATGAAGACGGAGTCAGGCCAGACCATCTATGCATCCCTAGAAGGCAGTTGGTCTGCAAGAGCCTTCAGAATCTGGCCCATGGCCCTAGAAGAGGTCATAGGCTCCTCAGAGGTATCCACACATTAGGAACAGAGATGAGGTGTGCTCCTGAGGGTCATAAGCCCTCTACTTCAGGGAGCGCCGAGGAGCCAGCCCCACTGCCACTCACTGTGGGGACTCACTGCTTCTGGGTGTGCGTGTAGCTGTGTGTTTGTGCATGTGTGTGCCCTACGTGTGCATATCCATGCCCCACAGAGGGAAGCCTCATCCATGCATAGCACATATGGGACCGGTGGTGAATCTTACAGCCAGGAAACCTCCCAAAGGCAGGGTTGTGAGTTGCAAAAGAAAAAAAATGGGGAGAAATATATTTCTTTTGAAAAAGTCCCCACCCCCCATTGCCAGGGTTGGAGTGAGTTAGTAAACAGCCTCTCTATACTTACTACAGAGACAAGTATTCAGAATCGGAGGAAACTCCTTTGATGAAGGCACAAATGGGAAGAGAAAGGAAGACGTTGTGGAGACAAGTTGACAACACCATGATGACACACATTGAGTACACACACAGTCGGGGACATCCACTTGGGGCTCTGGCCTCAAGCAGATGGGTTCCCTCTGGCAATGCTGGGCCTGCACTCAAAGCAGCACCTGGCTTATGGAGGGACTCAGGGGCTGGAGAGTCTACCAGAATCCACATATGTGGTCATTCTTCCCAGGAGAAGACTGCAACAGGCCACTGAGGGGCTGCTCTCTTCTTGGCAGTGGGACCCTCCCTGGGGGGCCCAGGGGCGGAGTGTTCATATCCGGGAGTGATTCCAGGAGCATATTAAAGACACTTTCATGATCTAAGTGGTTATGGACTATAATAGTATTATTATCCACCACATGATTATATCATTAATCATAACCATAATTAGATCTTACATTTAAATCATGCTTTTTTTATTCATTCAAAGTAAGCTTTCGTCTACAGCTTCCCTTATACACATAACAACCTTAAAAAAGGAACATATTAGCAGCCCCTTTTAACAGATGAGGAAACTGAGGCACAGAGTGGTTAAATGATTTGCTAAAGTTAGCAGTGGAGTTGGGCCTAGAATTCAGGCTCTCTAAACTAGGATCTCTCTAATGCAGTGGTTCTTGGCTTGGGCCGCACATTAGATTCTGCTACAGAGGTCTTAAAAATTCAGGCTGCACACTGCCCCCTTCCCCTACCACCACCCCCCCCGCCCCGTCAGATCTTTTAACTCAGAACCACTGAGGGTGGGACTCGCATCAATAGTTGGTAAAGCTCCCCAGGTGATTCCAATGTGCAGCCAAGGTCCAGAATAGCATCAGCTACACCTGGAAGCTTGCTGCAAATACAGAATCTCAGGTCCCACCTAGACCTACTGAATCAGAGTCTGCATTTTAACAAGATGCCCTAGGGGATTCCTGTGCACACGGAAGTCTGAGAACGGGGGTAGGGGGTAATCCATCTAGAAAGGCCCATCAGCCAGCCGATCTAAGTTAGAGTGAGGGGGCGGTAGGTCAATCCTCAACTTACTCATCATTGCTTAGACTGGGCTTAATTTATAGGGTGGACTGCCAGAGCTCGTGAACGCAACAAGCTTAAATTTGGTAACCCCTATTTCAGACTGCCTAGAAACAGTATAGGGGAAAGCTTTTCAGGTCGGAGACAACACCTGCTTAAAGCGTTGTGGGCTGACTTGCCCCGCCTTCCCTGAAGACACCTTTCTGGGCCTGTGGGTGCACCTCCCTCCCAGCCTGCCTACTCAGCTAACTCACCGTCCAAAGTCTTGGACGGAGACACCACGGGGCTTTTTGTCTCTGACTCTGATGGACTCTTCACTGGAGAAGTAGGTGCAGACTTCACAGGCGACCCAGGCCCTTCTGTGGCAATTTCTTTTTCTCCTGAAAATACAGAAAACCGTCTCAGGATAGAGGTCAACCAGGGGACACATGGACAGAGAGAGAGGGCTCATTTAAAAAAAAAAAAAATTTGCTTTTTTTACTTGGTCACTATTTCTCCTGGCTAATAATGAACTTTCCGGCTGAAGTTAGCTGTGCATTGTTGTTTTAGCTGTTGTATAGTCTGCCCCTGACTCATGGCGACCCCACGTACGACAGAACAAAATGCCGCCTGGTCCTGTGCCACCCTCATGATTGGTTGCAGATCAGACTGTTGTGATCCATAGGGTTTTCACTGGCTGAGTCCCTCGGTGGTGCAAACACTTAAGCACTCGGCTACTAACCAAAAGGGGGCAGGTAAGTGAGGATTGAAAATGAAAACAAGAAAAGGCTAGACAGAGCCACAAAGGCCCTGCCAGGTAGGAAGGAATGTATCCAGGGCCTCTGGCAAGGAGTGGCTGCCAAGGGAAATTCACTGTAAGGAGGCTATTCCCAAGACTCTCTTTAAAAAGTTTTCATTACCACTTTTATGACATTATTTTCCTCAGGTTTCAAGGTGTGGCAGAGAGGATGGTTCTGGAAGACTGTGGAATCAGCTGAGCAAGTCCTAGATGGGCCCTCCAAGGCTTTAGAGCAACTCACACAAGAATACAGAATCAGGGGTGCATTCTGCCTGCACTGCTGGGCAGAAAGGATCTAGGTTCCTCTACCTCCACCCCTACCCCACTAGAAATCACTAGCCTCTCCTAAAAAACAAGGCTGTGCTTAAGCCCAGTTGCAAGGAGTGAAGGAGGGAGAGGGTGGGGAAGAAGAGAAACCCTGTGGTCTAAAGAGGAAAACTAGGTTTGAAATCACTTTTGAGAAGAGTACAACTGGGAGGGCCAGTTGCACTGTGGAGTAAATCCGACATTTTAAATGGAAAGAGGCTAAGATGGGTAGTGTTCAAAGTTTGCAACCCAGGACATTCTATTAATAACATCAGAACAAAAGGATTCCTCCCACCTAAAGGAAGCATGATATAAAATAAGATGAAGAACTAAAGCCAGACAGATGTGTCATATCAATAAATATAAATGGGATAAACTCAGTTGTTAAAAGAAAAAGACTCTCTTATTAAATATCGTATGTTACTCAGCCCTACTACACATGGCTAAAAGGCATGATATGAATTTACATTCAGCAGACTTAGCAACAAACAATAAACACACACCTTGATTAGCAAAGAGGGTTCTTTTTTTAACCTGGCTGCTAAACCACTACATTCCAATGGTTTGATGAACTAAAAACACAATTCCTTTGCAAAAACAGGGGCAAAGTGTTGCTGGAGTGTTTGGCACATGGGACCTATCTCTGTGGCAAGCAGAGCTGGTTAGAGTTAAGAGTCGCTATCCAGGGAGCAGGCTGGACCTATCCCCCCTGAGGCCAGACTGCTGGGTACACTCAAGAGGGCAATGGGGCAGGCCCCTGATGATCTCTTCATTTCCTGCAATGCAACTGGCATCTCCACTTCTGGAAAATGGCAGCAACACACATTACCACCACATTACACAATACCATCAACACTAATTTGAAAAGAAGGTCCATCCATCCCACTCTATCTAAAAACACCTTCTTCTGCTCCATGGGCTGGGCCCTTCCTGGGCTCCCTTCCCTGCATACACTCCCTGTGGTTTTGTTCAGGCCTCTCTTCTTGCCTTGGTAACTCTTCCCATTCCTTTCAACCTTGCTCATTTTTAAGGGACCAACTCCAGTCTGATCCTCACCGTGTTCTTACCCCCCATGCCAAACCACCTACCCTGGCCTACTGAAACCTCTCCCTTTCCTGAGCTACTGAGTTCTTAGTCATCCACTGGCTTATATATGTGTATCTCCTAGCAACGTAACAAGAGTTTAGGCTCCTTGAGGGCAGGCACTGTGTCTTCTTTACCTTTGCACTCTCCACAGATGTTGAACGAGTTTGCAGGAATTGTAGTAGATGGAGTGTTCCTTGAGTATTTACCACATTTCTGCTTCTAGCCCTATTTAAACTTTTCAGTTTTACAACCTACAGTGAATGGTGGATGTACTGGGCATTCTAGGAAAACCCCGGATGCCTATAGCATTCTGTATACTGTGAAACAAAACACTGGTGAAAGCTGAGCTGAAAAGCATGACTGAGGTTTTATTTTTTTAAGAACACTGGGTCAGGCATGAGTTTGTGTATGTGGCCTAAGGGTGAAAGCAGGATCTCAACCATAGCAAAGACACTGAGTGCCCAGGAGAGGTTCCAGTTTAGAGGAAAGCACGCTGACCATAACCAAGAGATTTGGTGCTAATACTGCCTCTTTGACACGCTGTGTGGCCACAGGTGATGAATTATTGTCTCCAGGCATCCTTTTCTGTACAGCTTTGTTTTAGTTTTCTAAATGTGCTAACACGTACTGTCCCGTTTTATTTTCAGGACACCCCTACCATGTAGCTATTGATCGGAAGGGCGAATGTGTAATTTATTCTCCACTTTTGGGACACTTCTGTCTCATTTTATCAGATGCTTTTGAGAATGAAAGGGGCACTATTAATTACATACTGGCAACAGGCATAAACTGACACTGTCCTGGCAAATAAAACCTATGAACACCTTGGGTGCTGACAACTGAATTTGACAACTAAGAACACTGAGGCTCAGAGAGGCTGTCCCCTCAGGCTACCCAGGATGATGGTGGCCACATCAGTATCTGCTGACTTGCTCTGCTCCCTCTCTGGGTGCTCCTGCCCTCTCCCCTCCACCCTGGGAGAATCCTGAAGGGATAGCGCCTCTCACCCCGGGATTATTTACCATCAAGCTCTAGTTTCTTCCTCTCCACCTCTTTCTTGTACTCCTCCAGCTCCTGGTCGGTGAGTTGGCTGAAGGGGTTGGGCATGGTCTCCTCTGAATCGTCTTTGGTATCCACATCGCCCTTGGACATCAGCTGACTCTCTGTAGACTGAAAGTTAACCACAGAGTGCATGTCGCTCTCGGAACGCCGCGGGCAGAGCCCAGGCCAGCTTCCTTTCAGACTCATGTGGCTGCCAGAGGTCTTGCTAGGGATAGTGCAGCATGCAGCTCCTTGGAAACAGCTCAGGGCCTTGGCGTAGGGGTTGTTCACTCCTCCCCACAGCTACCTCACCCCCAGACCCAGATTCTTTGCAACTGCCTGGATAAATGCAGGGGTCCACCCTCTGCCCCTGAAATAAAACCAAAAGATGCTCCCAAGCAGAAGGAAGACACACCTTTATTGCAGACCCTTCTATGGACACTTCCAAGCCATCAATCACTACGCAAATACAGTCAGTGGCCCAAAGTCATCAGCAAAGCCCAGCAAGCATAGCATTGGCTCAAGCAAGCTTCATGCCAGCCGCGCCCCACCATTGCCCCTGCCCAACCCCCAAAGCAGTGCAGGCCACAACACAACAGTATTAAATCATATGCAAAACACACAGCGGAGTCAGTGCAAACTGTTAGTCCTGTTTTGCACGCGGTCATAAATTGCAAGAGGGCCAAGGTCCTGAACTGGGAATCTTCAACCCGCCCGTCCTGCAGGTCCCTGAGGGGACATCCACAGTATGACTTTTTCGCCATCTTTGTGGAAAGGTGGGTATGGGCAGCTGATGAGCTGGAACTTTTATAAGCTTTAAGGGATTGTTTGGCCCTTCTAGTCCAAAATAGAGACGAAAATTCAGACTCCGGAGCCCTTTTTCCTAATTCAGCACCCTTATCTTGGCCTTTGAGAATCCACTGCTCTGAGGCTGAGGAACAGCAAATGGAAACCACCCTGAGGGGAGGTAAGCCTCCCTCTCCGTGAAATCTGAGCAGTTGGCCCCCATCATGCCCTCCAGGCTTCCTTGCCCAGGCTGCCAGGCCTTCTGATGAGGGGCTCATGGATTCCTTCCAAAAGGGAGGCAACAGTGGCTTATCTTAACAAATCAGCTGCAGAGAGGGAGAATTCAAGACCAGGATCCCAAGAGGAGAGACTCCAAAGAGAGCACTTGGTCTAAACAACAGAGTTTTTACCATGTTTGCTCATTGCGCTGAGATCTCATCTTCCCCACCATCATGGGCTATTTCTACCCCTAACCCTGATGCTTAGTCAGTGTTCCCCATCTTGGTGGAGATGAAGTGGGGTGGAAGTGGGTGCAAAGAGAGTCTTCACACTTCTGCTAATGGGCACCCACCTTATGGGCTGCAGCCGGATCTCAACTTCGCAGAGAGGAACATTTCCCTGTATTTTCCCCTTACTGCTAAGGAAAATACTCTGCCTGTTGCCAGTGGGTAGGGATGATTTCAAACATGAGCCAGGATTCTGATCTTTACCCCTTTTGCTAAGCACCAGACAAACACTGTTCTATTTTAAGCATGAAAACAATGAATTTCTACTTTCTAACTCTATGTGGTTTGTGTGGGCAACTGTCCCTTCCCACCCTGTTGGAGCACCAGTCCTTACGTGTATGCCTGCCTCTGTGACTGCATGAGCATCTTCCCAGATCTACAACCTGATGCCATTTCCATGCACAGAGGTCAGAAACACGCAGGACGGGGGCAAGCCGGGAGCACCTGGGAGACGCCAGCCACATGCCCTATAATTCTCCACTTTGCAGAATACTAATATTGGGCAAAGCGGAGTTCCAAGGTGGAAGGGGACATGGAAACCGACATCACTCCATGGGCAGGCTGGGCTACTGCTCCCCCAGCCTAGTGCCCAAAGGGGGCAATTAGACATCGTCCCTGGTCCTCACAACACCCCTGTGAAGTGGACCTCAGTTTTGCAGCAAGAGCACAGGGGAAAATGGGCATGAGGACTCAGGGGTTCTGCTGCTCAGCCCCAGGCACTGCAGACCCAGAAGGCAAGCACATGTCCCCTCCAGACAGGGGCGGCTTCTGCTGTACCGGGCTCCGGCTCTTCTCGGCGATGACGCTTGCTAGGAGCTGGGACTGAGGCCCTGCCGACTTCACGTCCTGCCGATTTTGTTCTCGAATCTGTGTGGAGAGGGTAAGGGGAGAGTGAGCTAGCTGTTTAGGGTCAGAGTGTGGAGTTGGGGGCAGGGCGTTCCCAGGGCATGGTAGCGTCCACTGCGGCCAGTGACTGTGGCTGAGAAAGGTCCTCCAGTGTGTGGGAGCCTGTCGCTTCTATTAACACAATGAGTCTACTCCAGGATGTCTCCATGTGTATTTCTGAGTGAATGAGTAGTTTGTTTAAAACACCAGACTTTCATGAACTCTGAGATGGTAATTGTAAGAGGTAAAGAGTATAGCTAGACAGATTAGATGCTTGAGGGAGTGGCTCTCAAATTTTAATATGCCTAAGAAGCCCCTGAAGAATTTGTTTAAATACAGATTCCTGGGGCCACCGCACAGCTATTGAATCTGAATCTCTGGATGGCGTGGCCCAGGAATCTGCATTTTAAACAAGTACTGTTAGGGGTCCTTGGACCACACACTGAAACACTGTTCTGTGAGCCTATTGGAGATGATCTGCTGCAGCTTAAGTTTTTAAAGTAACATTAGAAATATGAGCGAGTAAACTGCAAGGCAAAAGTCCAGAAATAAATATAAAGGACTTTGGAAAACTTGAAAATAAGCCAAAAGGATAATAGCACCAAATTAATTAAAATTCCATGTGGGCAGATGTTTAGGACACATCTACTGAGTAAAGCAATTACCCCTATATGGAAGAGGATTATATAGGACTACACAAGCACAATCACGGGAACAGGTTCAATAAATGGTGGTTTCTTTCCCACATGAGGCATCTGGGACGTTGGTAAGTCAGGCACATCCTGGAAGCTGAGCTCATGTTTGCAGGACCTGAGCCACCCCCTGTGAGAGAAGGGATGGCGAGGTAAGCAGGCCCACTCACCTTGTTCCGCATGTCCAGCACTTCTTGGGGGTCAGTATAGAGAGGCACAAATTGGTTTGGGTTTTCGATCCGTATGGGCATGCCACTGCTGGATTTCTCGACTTCATCAGCCTTCATCCACTGAACAAACACAAGGTCAGCTGGGTAAGGCAACAGAGCAAGGCCCACACGTTCCCCCAGTGCCCTGGGCCCACCTGGCCGACTTGGAAGGTCAGAAGCCTACACAGAGATGTTCTCTCCTTTTGGGCCTCTTTGATGTCTGACTCCCAGAGCAGAAATACACAACAAATAACTTACAATCTGTCAAAGAAGGTCCTCAGGCCAATCAATGGGCAGCCATGAAGAACACTGGAGAGTAGGGACAGACCTTGGTAACCACCTTTGACAGACGAGCAACCGCTCGTGCGCCAGTATTAGATGATTCATTGATTTGAATCTGCACGGTTTCATTTTTTATGAAGAGCTATTCTCTTGGCGTCCAGCTAACCAGCTGCTATTGAGTCAATTCCGACTCGTGGCAACCCCATGTGTGTCAGAGTAGAATTATGCTCCATAGGGTTTTCAATGGCTGATATTTTGGAAGTAGATCACTAGGCCTTTCCTCCCAGGCACCTCTGGGTGGATTCAAACCTCCAACCTTTCGGTTAGCAACCAAGCACAGCCAAGCATGTTAACCATTTGCACTACACAAGGACTCCAGCTGTCAGTTACTTTTATGTTAATAAAAACTTGTATTGAGAGTCAGGGTGTATGTGAGAGAAAGCGACACAGAGGGAGAGCAGGTGGGTGGGAGGAAAGGAAGGGAGAAACAGAGAAGGAGAGAAGCCAGAAGATGGGAGGACAAAGGAGAAAGACAGAGAGGGAGGGAGAAGAATATAGCTTAACAGAAATGGACATCCTGCCCACCTCTCGGGTTTACATCAGACGTGCTATCCAAATGTTCAACTGCAGCCCTAGAATTTCCCAGAAGCCCCCCTCTGGATGTGGGAGCAAGAAGCAGAAACCAACTGCTCCTGGGTTTTGTACTACTGGGAGAGACCTGGTCTAGCCCTCCTCTGGAGAAATCTGCTCCTCAGACCCAAAAGCTCAGAGCACAGGTTCAAGAATGAAGTGGTCAAAGGCTCCATCGGCATGAGCAGCTGTTCCCAGATAACCAACAGGAAGCTCCAAGAGGAAGTTGTACTGACTCACAGCCAGGGGAGATCTGCTCTGTTCTTTTAAAGCTGCTTAACCCCACAAAATGTAGCCCAACTCTCCCTCTCCACCCCATCTGTCCTGGACTTCCCCAGCAGAAGCCTCCTGGTCCCCTCTCCTTACTGTGGTCTTGGGCCGAGGGCTGCCCATGCTCCTCTGGACCTCGTCAGCCACGTTGACCCTCAGGTAGGTGTTGGGAGTGTTGAGCCAGCGGGTCTTCTCCTTCTGCTGTTTCTGGGCATGGTGCCGTAGGACAGGCACTGGGGTGCCGTCCTCTTCAAACACGAAGGCTGTGACCGTGGCTGGGATCTCCACCTCACTTTTGTGTTTGGTTTTCTCTTGAACAACAGGGTGACGGTATGTGTAGCCTGTTCTGTAACCCTAAAATGGACAAAAAAATAAGCCTCCGATGGTGGGGGAAATGGTTTGATGTGTGCACGCACAGCACACACATATTGCTCCCTTCCATTTAAAGGATTCAATTTAAACCAGAACCTCCAGAATACAACCTAGGCCTTGTAGCTTTTCTGGTATATTTCAGAATCATTCCCTCCCCGTGGTGTCTGTTACAGATTGAATTGTGCCCCCCAAAATGTGTTGAATTTCTGACCCTTGTACAGCTGGATGTGATCCTGTTTGGAAACAGGGTCTCCTTTTGTTATGCTAATGAGGTCATATGGGCATAGGGTGGATCCTAAACCTTATCCTTTCTGAGTTATAAAAAGAGCAGAATTGATACAGAGACACATGTGGGGGAAGACAGATGACATGTGAGGATCATCTATAACCCAAGGAACACCTGGGGCTACCAACAAGGAAGGAATCAACACGGCTGAGACCCTGATTTGGACTTTTTTTCTCCAAAAGTGTGAGAAATTAAACTTCTGTTCTTTAAAGTCATCCATTTGTGGTAGCACGAGGTAACTAAGACAGTCCCCCAGTCCCTCCCTTCCTCCACGCCCAACACAGTCCTCTGATCAGGGCTGAGAAAATCCCTGGAACCTCCTGAGCCAGCCAGACAGAGCTCCTTCCCCAGACAGAACTCCACCCCCTCATCTGGCTCAGTGGTTCTCAACTTGGGTTGCACATTAGAATCACCTGGGAGGCTTTAAAAATTATGATTCCAGGTCCCACCGCAGAGATGGTGATGAAATGGTGTGACCTGGGCTACAGGACTTTTTTAAAGGCCTCCCAGATTATTCTAGTGGTCACCCTAGTGGTCACTCCCTCCCTTTCTCACCTCCCAAGCTTCTTAACTATTTCCCTCTTGTAGCCCTGAAATTTGACCCCAGAACATGCCTGTCTCCTGAGTGAGCCACACCCCACAGAGGCAGTGATTTTCAGTGATAGCAAATGTGAGAAATCTTGGCAACAGCCGGAGTATTCGCTGTTTTATCTTCTTTCTTTATTTTTTAAATTAAAATAGCATTAAGGAATTTTTTCTGATTATAAAGAAAATACAGACTCCTGTAGGAAAATTAAACAATATGGAAAAGCATAAAGAAAACAGTGGGCTTTATGCAAAATCGCACCTCCAGAGACAACTACTAACAATCCTTCCAGTCATCTCTCCATGCATAAATATATATGTGCATGTATGCAACTATATATAAGTGTATATAAGTGGTACCCTACTACATAAGCTTCTTTATAAGCTGCTTTTCCAGCTCTTCATTGTGTTTTGGAGATTTTTCCATGTTATTGAGCCTATAAACACGTTGTTGTTGTTAGTTGCCATCAAGTTGACTCCGACTCACAGCGACCTTATGTATAAGAGAACCAAACGTTGCCCAGTCCTGTGCCATCTTCATGACTGCTGATATGTTTGAGTCCATATAAATATATAGGAGCCTTTAAACGGCATAGTATTCCAATGAATGGACATATCATAATTTATCTAACCAATATCCTACCGATAGACACTCTGTTATTATAAACCACCCCGAAATGAGCATCTTTGCACATTTTTCTTTAGTCAACTGAATGAGTCTTTCCTTGGGATAAATTCCTAGAATTAAAATTACTGGGTCAAAAGGTACACATTATAAGTTTTTATATATTTATCATATCCATCTTCTCAAAATGTTGAGCCAATTTACATTTCTATCAATGGTATTTGAGTTTTCTGTTCTCTTTCCCCTCTCCCATATTGAATATTGCCCAGCTCTTTTAAACAAATATTTTGTAATCAGATGGGTTAAAAGCAAAATTGTCTGTTTTTTTCTTTCTTTTTCTGATTACTAGTAAAATTGGATATTTAAATTCTATTTAATGATCACTTGAATCTCTTCCTTTGTAAATTGTCTGTTTATGTTCTTTGCCTGTTTTTCTACTGAGATGTTTATCTTTTTCACATTGATTTGTAATTTCTCTTTGTATACTAAGGATATTAACCTTTTGATTGTCACAGATGTTGCAAATATTTTCCTCCCACAGTTTGCCTGTTATCCTTGTTTATGGTGGGGAGAGTGGTTTATAGAAATGTAAATTTTGAAATTTTAATGTAATCATATTTGTCAATATTTATCACCATGATTTCAGACTTTCCTGCCATGCTTAACAGGGTCTTCCCCAGCACAAAATTATCAAAAGTATTAATGTATGTTTTTTAATACCTATATGACTCCACTTTTATGTTTAAATTGTTGATAAATCAGGAATGTATCTCATTGAAAGGAATGAGGTGGCAATCCAGCTTAGTTTTATTTCCCAAATTGCTAATAGTCTATCTTTTTCCCCCATAGACGTCATATGCTAAATTCTCATATACTCTTCAGTCTATTTCTGGATTCTCTAAGCTGTTCCAGTGATCTGCCTGTCCATTCTGCACTAGTGCTACACCGTTTAATGGACTAAGGCTTTGTAACACTTTACCTTGTGGTGGAAAAAGTATCCCTAATTATTCTTGTTTTCTATAGAATTTTCCCAGCCATTCTGAATTTCTCCTGGATGAACATTTTATTAAGTCCTTACACTCTTCCTCATTTTTGAGGGAATTACATTGAGTTTATAGATTAATTGGGAGGGTGGGGAGGAACCTCTTTACCCTATTGGGACTGTCTAACCAAGAATAAGTTACAACTCTTCATTGATTTCATGTCTTCTCTGCTGTCCCTTGGTAAATTTTACAGTTTTCTTCATATGGGTTCTGCTTAATTTATGATTTTTCTCATTTGCAAATGGGATTATTTCCTCCCACTATTATATTTTGTAAATGGATAATGTTAAGATACAAGAAAGCTAGTGATTTTTGCATATATTCTAATAATTGGCCATCTTACCATTTCTACTATTTATTGGATTTCTAACATTTTATTATTTCTAATATTATTCAGTTGATTTTTTTGGACTTTATAGACATCTGACCATATTATCTCTAAAGAATATTAATCTCCTCTCTTTGCCAATATTTATTTTTTAAAAAAAAAACAGTTGTTGTCAAGCTGACACTGACTCTTGGCGACCCCATATGTGTCAGAGTATAACTGTGTTCCATAGGGTTTTCAATGGCTGATTCTTCAGAATTAGATCGCCAGGCCTTACTTCTAATATTTATACGCCAGACTATATTGGATTGAGTTCCAGGAATAATGATCGTGCTGAGAGCAGGAATCACTGTTTTGCTTCGAAGATGAATGGACATTCTTCCAGAGTTTCACCATGATTCTGCCTTTTGTTTTGAAAAAAGTTATTTTAATCATGTTAAATAAGTATTCTTCTGTTCTGTTTAACAGCTATTATTTTTATAAATGATGATCAATTTATATCAAGCACTTTTGGTATTCATTAAGATGATCAAGAGGTTTTGATCCTTTGGCTTGTTAATACTGTGAAATATATTTAAAAGATTTATAATATTGAACCATCCCTGAATACCAGCAATGAACCTTCATTTGATTGTTGTGTTTTATTATTCTAACGTTTTGCCAGATATTATTTGCTAGTTTTCACGCAACATTTTTCATCAACATTCAAAGTTGATTGGTCTAAATGTGTTATAATTGTTGAGGCTGGTATTCTTCTCTAAAACAGTTTAAATAGCATAGGAATTGTCTATTTCTTAAAGGTTTGAAAGAATTCCTGCATGAAACCATCTGATCCTGGTGCTTTATTTAGGCATTGAGTACTCAGCACACAAATGTTAATGAGTTTTATTTTCACTGTGGATTGTATCCTTTATCATTATAAAGTGACACTCACAGTCACCTCGGTAATAATGGGGAGACAGTTTAGAGGAACTGGAGATAGGGAGAAAATTATCGTAATGGCTTAGGCACAGTAAAGAGGGTCCAAGGTGGTAGCCATGAGGATGGGGAAAACATTAATAAGATATAAAAATGTTACAAAGGTATGTTTCATGTTTCACTTTTCTGAGCAATCTAAGAAGTCACAGTCTTTTCTTGCAATTAACTCCTCATTGTATATGCTTTCCTCCTGTTCTTGAATCGTCTCATATTTATATCCCATATCATCAACTAAACTGTTAGCCTCTAGAAGAAGGAAGAATGTCTCAGAATTCTCTTATATCTGTTAAAGGACCAGCCTATTCCTAGCACATACCAATTAACTCCTTACATGATTGATGCAGTCACTTATCACAGTAGGAGATCATTATAACGCTGATGATCAGGGATAAAGAAATTAGCGGTATTATGTGCTTTTCTGTGTTAAAGGCATGAGATTAGGAAGCAAAGCAGAACAAACCACATAAGGGGAGTGAACTAAACCACAATGTAACAGAAGATCTTTGTTTCTGATATTTACTCAATTCTACTTCTAATATCTGCCAGTGTCTCCCTACCCCTTCTCCAAGCACTCTGAGGTATGACGACATCCACAGCTCTTAGCAGGGGTGGCAAAGGCCATCATTTAAGAAAACTTAACTACTAGTAGAATGACCACAAATTCTAAATCAAATTGCCAATCAATGAGGCTTCAACATCTTAACCATGATGCTGGCAGTTCTCATGCCCACCTAAATAGAGCCTCCTACTGGCTGGCTCTGGGAGGCTAAGCCTCAACAGACTGGTCTGGAAGGCCAATGGCAGGAGACTCAACTCACCAGGTTGTCCAGCATCCTCATGAGGGCCTCAAACTCGTGCTCCCCTAGCCGGCTCTTCTGCATGGGCCCGAAGGTGCTCCCCGCCCACTGCACGGAGCCCACCTCGTGGGGCCGGTACTTCTCCTGCTCCAGAAGGATGAGGTTCTCCACTCCCCCAGCACTGGACAGAGCGGACACCTGTGGCAAAGAGAGCGAGCCCTCAGGTCATGCGCATGCACAGGTGGGTGTATGTGGGTGCCAGGAGAGTGCAGAGTAGGAGAGGGGAACTTAGAACCACCAACATCTGGGAAACTGAGCTGCATTTACCTCTTTCCTCCTGGAGGAAAAGTCACCCCCGGTTTGCTGGGCATGCACCATTAATATGGAAAGAGGTATTAGTAGTTTATTTCCTGATATAAAACTATAATGAAAAAGGTAATAACGAGTGCTAAACCTTAAGAATAACACAATACAGAGGACTGAAAAGTCATCCGTAATACAGACTAACTTCTAGTTGTAATTATTTCTGGGAAGTGAAGGAGGATGAGATCAGAATTGGCTCCAAAGGGAACTTTGACTTTTGTCTATTTCTTTAAAAGAAAAAGCTCTGAAGCAAAAAGGCTGCTAGTGTTTGTTAAATCAAGGTAGTGGGTGTCCATTATGTTGTTTTTTGCATTTTTCTGTGTGTCTGAAAGATTTTCCATAATTTTTAAAAAGACATTGCAAAGAAATAGGCTGGCTTCTGGGCCAGTGCAATTTCGAGCGTTGCCTGACAAGATGAAGGAACAGGCCTAGGGGAAGAACTCAGCCCTTCACAGTCAGTCCAGGACACCCAGAATGAGGAGGCAGGTGACAGTGTTGATAGCGCACAGCCAGGGCCCGTGCAGGGGCTACACTGCTTTCACCAAGGGACTTGGAGGGTCTGCCCCCATTGTCAAGATTCCATGGGGAAGAGAGGATGCAGGTGGTTGCAGACAATAAACTTGGAGTCTTAGAGCAACAGATGTGTGTATATACAAGTGATTTTAGAATGACGCTAATAAACATTCATCAATCTAACCAATTCCCTTGTTTTCTAATTCCATGCTCATCTAATGGTACATTCTATTTTACTCTCACGTATCCACCACTCAGATATTATTGGCCATGATTTGGCTTCCAGGATAGGTCCCCCTAAACAGAGAGAGGTGGTGGTTTTTAAGTACACTCCAGGTAGCGATGTGGGAGTTTTACACTGCACATTAGTGCGTTAGCATTCTCATTAATATTTGATTTCCCAGGTAAGCCTGCTTATTAACTAGGAATTGCTCTGATCGTAGAAACTCTCAGCGTTCCAATTTTTTGTGACAGTTTTTTTTTACTGCAAACTAAAGGATCCAATTTAGTTTGCTGACAAATGCAGGTTTACGAATTCATGAGAATGCAGGATGGATCCTGAAGTGTGTTAAGTTCATCAGAGTAACAAATGCCTCCTATGAGACCTCTTGGAGGCCATCCAGGCAACCTTCCCCAGGTGCCCCCATCACTCTGTGAAGAGGAGGAGGCAAGAACACTCACTTTCCACACCCTTTTCATCCAAGACACATGTCCAATGGAAGGCTCCATTTTTATCTTATAAAGATGACTCCACACCCTGGCAAAGACAATCGTGTGTGATTGAAGCTTTGAATTGGAATAGGCCTTTGGTTTTGTTGTTCTTGTGTGCCATCAAGTTGATTCCGACTCACAGTGACCCTATATGACAAAGTAGAACTGCCCCAAAGGGTTTCTGAGGCTGAAATCCTTACGGCAGCAGATCACCAGGTGTTTTCCCTGCGGAGTGGCTGGTGGTTCAAACCACCGGCCTTTCAGTTAGCAGCCAAGCGCTTAACCATTGTGCCAACCAGGGCTCCTTAAATAGGCCTTAAAAAAACAAAAACCAAACACATTGATGTTGAGTCGATTCCAAATCATAGCAACCCTATAGGACAGAGTGGAATTGCCCTAT